ATATATCCAAAAAGCTGTATTTGTAGCATACAGCAAGGTTATGATAATACTGAATTTTTAGTCAGAGGCAATTACTACTTTAGTAAGTGCACCTGTCTTTTCAGGACAAATTAGCAAGGAACACCTCTTTGCAACATCACCCCTTACTGGCTGTTTTAAAGAATGACAGTGAAATCATTTTTCTACAGAAATCATTTTTCTGCCATCCCATTCATAATCAAGATTATGACAACTACTAATGCATTTGATGCAAGAAATACCTAAGAATGCAAGAAGACTTAACTGTGTATAATTTTAAATAAAGGAAGGAAGTGCAACCTTTGGTGATGCATGTTGCTGCTAGAATGCAACATGCTCACAAACACACTACTGCTTTGGGGTAAAATTAATGCAAATGTTATATGTGGGTTACACCATCTGATGTACCTACAGTAATCTTTCATCATCCACTTAATTAAAAGCTAAAAACCTAATAACGAAACATGAAAGGAAGTGTGCAGCATGAATACATAAGCCCTCTTTAACAAAGCTGACACTAGTTATAATGAGCGACATTTATTCTTCAGCTGCGAGACAGAGCTCACCTCCTGAATGGTACTGCTTCCTGAGAAGTTGAGGTTGTACTCCCGCTGGACTTCTCGATGGGTGACGATCAGCATGAAGTTTTGATTTAATGATTCCTGCAGGGCACTGAAAGAGTTGAAAGAAAAACAAGAATATCAGGAGCGAGCATGTTCTAACTTGCTTCACATTTAGCTGTAAAACCCCAGGAGTACCCTAAACTCTGCAGAGACAAGTCCAAGCACAATGTTATCATCGTTTTCTTTTTTGCTCTTAAAGACAAGGAAGCAACTGGAGAATGACCAAGGGGGCTGACCTGTTAACTCCTTCTAAGGTAGCTGAGTATCCGAGGCTATATTTCAACTCTTTAGAATTTTCACAACACAGTACTTACTGCAATTATCACAATGTTCATATACACACACAATATCTATCATCTACCTATCTCACATACAAGGTGCACAAACACTAAGAGATCACTAGGTTTTAAATTAAGTTCAAAATAAAAGCTTTGATGATACTTATACTCTTTACAAATGTACAGATAATTAGGCATTCACGTGCCAGATCTGTATAAGTCTGTGTATATATGTGACAGCCATGCTTTTCAGCTAAGCTTGGTAAATGCTCATAACTGCTGTCCAATTAGTTGCCAGTAAAACATGTGGAAAATTCTAGGATTCATTATCTCAAAAAACACCAAATGAATTTGACTCAATTTCACCCTCAATTTCAGGGAGAAGTCAGAAATAATAAAAATCATAAATCTCAGTTCTCAGAAATAGCAGGAATACTCATTTTTTTCTTTATAATTACAGACATTACTGCCTCAGATGTCAACTTTGGATAACCTAAATGATAACAAAAAGAGGATGATAAGTCAATTCTTGAACATTCTTGATTTGGATAAATGTTAGAAATAATTACATCAACTGTACTTTGTTTGAACTATTTATTAATCTCAGTAAATACAGACTAATAAAACAATAATGGGTTCCAGAAAGCCCTAGTGAGTAGAAAGTATCTCAGTTCTCTCAGAAGGTTCAGAATTACTCTTCTAGATACATCAGCTCAGCATTCCACATTATATTCCATGCTGTTCCAGAGGGTCCCTCATCCTATAGAAGAAGGGGCTATAGTGGAAACAAGAAGACAAGAGCCATGGATGCATTGTTACATAGGCAATGTTTCCCTTCTCTATACCATTTGGGAAGAGCTGTGGTTAGAATATCAAGTTTTGAAGCATATACATCCAACTGTACTTTCAACACAACTCTGGGATACTTTACACTATTGTGGAACTTTCTTTCCCCAATTCTTTCAAGTTATGGAAGAGAAAATCAGACAGCCAGGATTGCAGGAAGCTATTTTTCTCAGATTCTAATAAACTGTACTTTCTATTCTTATGGCAAACATTGATGCATTATTAATTGATTTTGGATTGTTTTAATATTGTTGCACACCCAAATTATTTGAAACAGATCCAAGGAAATATCAGGCAGCCCAATTCTATGCATGTTTACTTGGAAGTAAATTGCACTGTGCTTATTTGAGTGTACTCAGAAATCATCGTCCATAGGACTGCTGCCTAAATGTGATATAAAATGGCTTAGTCAACAATATCTATTTGAAGTTCACAATGACACATCTTTCCAACATAAACGCTGGTGATGTAAAGCAAGACAACAATTGGTTCTTTATATAATTTCATTAATACATATTATTCTGGTTAGAAGGCATAACAAATTAGATTAGACTCTAATTTGCTTGAAAAATCTACATTAGAAGTACATTGTCCAATGAAAACATTAATCTGACTCCAATAAAACAACTCACTGAATCACCTACTTCTTGACCAGTATACACTGTATATTAATTCAAGTATTTAGAATATTTTTAGCTTCGTTATTGTTCCAAATAATCACAGTTGACAATAGATAACTATACATACTGGCAGAACAGATTCTATCTGTCTGTCTGTCTGTCTGTCCGTCCATCTATCCATCCATCCCCCCATCCCCCCACCTATCTATCTACACACACGCACGCACACACACACACTTGCACATATGCATAATTATAAATTAGGAAGCACTTTCAGTAAAATTCTATTTACTAATTACCTTATTTTAACCATTTTTTCTACTGAATTACTAAACATTTGAATACCTGGATATTATCATATACAGCATGAGTGATGCAGGTGTGGAAGCTAGTTTCAGTAAGATTTTTCTGCTGGACAGTTAAGTCTCACATGCAAACTATTCCAAGTATTATCCTCAGTACTAAATCTCACATCTAGATTTTCTGCACAGTTCTAAACATGGTATTGGGAACCATGCATATAGTAGTGGAAAGATCTTCTTTATATGGGACATGGGAAAAGACTATTAAGAACATATGCAAAGTACATATGTCTTCCTATCCCTCATCTCTTTTTACAGCCAAAACTGCCAATTGTGAAGTTAATAACTGCTCAAAATCATACAGGAGTATCCTATTTGCTCAAATCACTGGAATGGAGTTGTTTTCTTTGCTCTAATATATATCTCAAGTTTAAAACATATAAGTGTTAACTATGCAGGTTAGTTTTTATAAAAATAACATTTCTGAAGATTTCAGAAATCTAAAACATCCCTCACTGATATATAGCTTCATACAAGGGGCATTCAACATTCAGCTTCTCAAACAGCTAATTAACACCAACAGAATTTCTGAAGAAGGTATGCTAAGGGCCAGAATAAGCACAGCATTAATTGTATAAATGCAGTTCATATACATGGATTTTCTTGTATAAATAGTAGCCATAGGAAAGTAAGAAAGGAGTAATTATTTCCTTCATTACCATGGCTCCAATAAAAATATCTTTTCTGATCCTTCTACTTGTATTTTACAGCCACTAAATACACTCAGATTACTGGGCTGAAATTTAGCAGCAAAAACATATTTTCAGCTGCAGATTTTTATCTTCTGCAAGACTGAACCCAGACTTTTGCAATCTCATTCCCACCCACCCAAAAATAACCAAAAAATATTCAGTTGTGCTTCTAGTGACATCACTGGCAGTTCAGATCTAACTGAAGTTCCTAGTCAAAAAAAGCTTATTCTTCTATTATAAAATGCTCCTTTCTGTATGTGTTGATACTGTGTGAGGTTATGTATCTCCTAGGACAAGAAATAGAGAATCTATCACGACTGCTCTGAAACTGTGGAATGATTTTTCCAAAGATATTTATCCTCAGCTTGCTTTTTTAAAAAAAACATTAGATTCTATCTAAAATCACCTTGACCTCTGGAGAATCAAAAGACAAAGCTGTGTTCAAACTTAAATTGAGGATTCAGCAGAATTGTTTCCTTCTTTCCTCTCTACATGAAAGTATGTTTTTCATCATCTCTTACAGTAATAATTGAGCACAATCAGCGAGCCCAGTGTCCTATCTTCTCTCTTTAAAAAAAATAATAAGCTGTTTAGGAGACTCTCTGAAATTGTGTGGAAGAGAGCACAAAGGGCTACAAATGATGAAAACTGTCTATCTCCTATACAATTCCATTGGAAGCCATAGCTGAATCCACAGAGAAAAGTATCTCTTTTGTCTAGCCTGTATTTTTAAAGTAATATTTAGTGTAATATTTGATAACTCTATTCTGATACAGTCCTATATATATCAATTCTGTTGAGTTCGACGGATTTTAATCTGAGGCAAACTAGTATAGACTATTATTCCAGTTTAATCCCACAGAAAACCTCTTCATGAATTTCAGTAGAAAAATATCCATTATTCATCATATAATTCATTTTTCTTACCAAACATCTAAATTTTAACAAAATATCATGAAAGATAATAATTAACATTTCCATTGCAAACATTCAGATTTATATAAACTCATGCCAATAGTCATCCAAATTTGCTGTAATTACAGTTTATTTACACTAAAACAAAATATGAAATCACTATGTAAATGTAATGTTTGTTGTAGCTAATGCAGTAAGCAAGAGCAAATTAGTTTAAAACAGCAATCAATCAGAAAGCTTGACTAGTATGGAAAATGAGAAGAGTTTCTGCTTGTTTACTTTATATCCTGCATTTTTAAACACTGAGATTTTTCTAAATTGTCCAACTAAAATAACCTAAATAAAATTTAAATTTTATACTCAATGTTTTTAGGCTGAAATAGCATATAATCTGGAGAAAAGCCAAAATGAATCCCAGTAATATAGTTTTTGCTCAATCAAAATCTTGCTACAGTTAATCATATATTTAAATATCTCTCCATAATCGTCATTGCTAGGTTAAAAATAAATCAACTTAATTCTTATACCCCAAACATCTTTACAGATACAATTTTTATAATAACAACAATGTGTTTTGCATTCCTGAATTCTGTTCAAAGTAAACCTTTATCGCACAGAAGGAAACCAAACCAAACCAATCTATTTTGGTCTGTGTCCACTACCTATTCAGACGCTCTTGCTGATATTCATCCGTGGTGCTATTTTAACAATCTGAAGCAGCCATTCAACTTCATAAAGATAGCATTCATTTTAATACAACACCATCAATAACATACAAACACTGAACTATTCAGAGGGACTGTAATTTGCAAGAACTAAATGGGTCGTCTGTATTTATGCAAGGAGTTCATCCTACTTAAGGGGAAATAAACCCAAATTCTGTACTTTCTCAACAATTGGGACCTCATCAACCTCTACTATGTATTAAAATACGTTTTGGTTTCATAAGCAGCTCTTTCAGTTTTGAAAGCCGCTCACTATCCATCAGGGCATACTACTGTTCAAGAACAATGAAAAATCCCTCCTCTAACTAGCTGCAACTAATTTTTGGATATTACCAGTGTTTAATTTAGAGTATCTGAACATTTATTAAAATTTACAGCTGAATGCAGTAAGAACCAGTAAAGAAAGCTGATTCATCAAAAATATCATCATCAGACTACGAAAATAAGAATATGATAATACTTCATATGATATATAAATCATGTCAAAATCTCAGTTAATTTAATAAATGGGCTAGAAACAATGCTGGAAGGCCTAGTGAATAAAAAGCCCTTTCGACGCCAGTCATTCCTCCCTAGAGAATGCATTCCACATGGGCCAAAATGCACGTAGGTCACCAGACCGAGAAGACTTGGTCTCCAATTGCCACATATTCACCTTGATAAATGCTGATAGGGAAATTCTGTTAGGATCACATGCAAAAAAGCAGTCTTCTAAATCCCTGACCTTCACTTCGAATTTGAAAAGAGCAAGTTTTGTGCCATGGCTTGTTGCTAGAAGACTTGATAAGTAGGCAGAATAATTTTATAGTTTGAGTAAACGCTATGCTGTCCTCATCTAATCAAGTGCTCTTTCTTTGCTTTGCACGCACGCCTCCTTCCAAACTGCTTTAACTTCACAACTCTCACAACCTCCCTCTCCTTCATACTAATGGCTCCATGCACAGCCTTCATTTCATGTAATCTTAAAACTCATTAAATGTTCTTAATCACTCAAGTCCTATAGATTTTTTTAAATTGAAAATTTACATCTATTATTTCCTATGGAGAAATTCTGAACAGTTTCTTGTATTCCAGATTGTATTTTTAAAGCTAATTTTCAAACAGTGCTGTCAGTGGTAGCAATTTAATCCAGATGCTAGCAACTTAAGTATTCAGTGCAAATAATTGCACATCAATTTACTCATAACTGTATTTCTTCTTTGTACCACAAATTTTCTAAAGCTATGGTTTTTACTACTGCTAATCTCAATAATCATGCTTTTCCAAGTGTAATCAGAGACATTATGATCACAAAACACAACTATAAAAAACTGCTGGAGAAGTTCTGTTGAAATAATTTGGAGCGTGTGCTCATTTCAGCATGATTTGCTTGGAACTTCCTAGTAGCTTATGCTCTGTATTTTACTTGTAAAAAAGATAAGAACCCTTAACCCACCCAGTTTAGAAAATGCAAGATGAAAAGAGCTGGAAGGGACCATACAATTATTTAACAAAATCTCCTGCTCTAAAGCAGGATTACCATCCCTACTAGCAATCCTTCCATCAGTTTATAGTATCCAATTATTACTTGCTCCTGGAACAAGATTTAAAAATCTAGTAATAAGTATGCTTTGAAAAATGCTCATTTCAAGTTTTTATTAGCTTGCCTATATATAAAAATCTATTACAGAGCCTGACATTTGCGTATATATAGTTTAAAGATATTAAAATGTACAGGGTTTACATAATTTTGAAATACACTATTAACGTGAACTCCTATAGGTTACATTCAAGTTTATTTGTGTCTTACCCTGGCAGACTTGATGAAGATGGTAGCGGCAAGTTGGGCGTTAGGACATAGAGGCTGTTGTTTTTGGGCAAGTGTAGAGTTTTTAGAATAGTCTGCAAGAAAAAAAGTACATATTTAGAATTTAGAAGTGTCAAAATGTTTCCATCAGGTGCCCATATCTGAAAATAAAAGCCAAACTGATGCAAAACTATACAGGTTATTAGCAACCACAATTTTGTGAGTTAAAAAAAAAAAAAGCAAGGAAGGAAGAACAACTAATAACAAGTGCAACAGGAACCTTATTACGCTCCTGATGTAAATCTTTCTCCAAGAAAAAAAATCCCATTGGTAGTAAAGATTGGTAGTATTGTAAGCGTTTTATTCAGTTTGGCCTAAGTAGGTTTCATTGCTATATAATTGCATCTATTTATTTATTTATTCATTCATTCATTCATTCATTCATTCATTCATTCAATTTATTAAATTTATATGCCACCCAGTTCCCCCAGAGAGCAACTCTGTGCG